TGTGGGAGTCCATGACGGCGGTCACAAACTTGTCGCACCGGCTGCAGAGTAGGACAATTGAGGTGCAGCAATTAAACGCCCAACTGGCTCTGCTCCAACGCATGTATAAGGATGCGCGAGCAGAGATAAGCGTGCTAAAGGCAGAAAACAAGGAGCTGGAAGCGGAAGGCCACCGTGATGTTTCGATTTGGAGGGCCGCCATATGCTGCAGTGGAGGAGCAGGGAGTAGTGATCTGCCCGGCGGCGTGGGAACACAGAGGCAGCACTGTCAAGGGCTGGCCCAGGACGGAGGCAAGAAGAAAAGACCGGCGGCAGAGTAGAGAAGAAAAAATCCCACTTGTGGGTGGTTTGTGGTGTTGTGGTTGTTGTTGTTTTTTTTTTTTTTTTTTTTTTTTTGTGGGGTGTAAAATGGTGATCGGGGTGAGCTCCGACATTGAATAAAATAAGTTGGTGTTGCATTTCATCTTTCTTCCTCTTTTTTTTTTTTTTTTTTTTTGGCAAAGAAAAAATAATGAAAAAAAAGATGAAAAATAAAGTGAAAGAGAAAGAAAAAAAAGAAAGAAATAATAAGAAAATATGTGAATAAAATTGAAGAGAAATGGGTGAATGTGAAAGGAATAAAAAAAATAAAAAGAAAAAGGAAATGTGAGATTCAAACATGTGTGGTGTGTGGGCGGGTCCTACCACTAATAGAAAAGGAAGATGATAGGTGTGCAAATCAGGTGGTGGTTCGGTTTCTTGTCAAAAGAGGAAGTAAAAGAAATATTTAAAAAAAAAGAAATTGGAGTGAGGAACAGGAGTGTAATGAAAAAGAAAAAATATAAGGGGAGTGTAAGGAAAAAGAGGTGGGAGAATTATTTTATTGGAGAAGTGAAGGAATTAAAAATTAAAAGAAATAGATAAAAGAAAATCACGTGGGTGTGTGTGGGAGTGTGGGTTGTGTTGGGTCTGTCAATCCCGTGGGTGTGTATGTGAGTGTGGGTTTTAGAGAGAGAGAAGCCTAGAAATCTAAAGAGAGAAGAGAGCTGGGTGTGTGTAAATGGGACTTTTGTTGTTGTTAGAGAGAGAGACCGTGGGTGTGGTCTCACCAAAAAGCAGAAATATTGAGAGAGAGAAGTGCCAAACATTTCGGAGGATCCGGCTTGGTAGTATTTGATGTGGGATCGGCCGGGGGCGGAGATGTGGGAGCGAACGGCTCCGAGGAGGCGGAGGGCGCCGGTGGCGACGACGTCGGCGGTGTAATCGGGGATCTCGAAGGAGACGGCGACGTGGGACTGGGCGGCGAGGGTGTAGACCTCGTCGGGGAGGATGGTGCTTCACTGGTATTTGTTTTGATAAAGATGCAGCAGAATCGAGTGAAGGTCAGGAAGCATTATCTGCTGCAGCATCAAAACACAGAATTCCATGCATGGAAATCCTTGCAGACGTTGCTGCTCATTGCAATGAGAGGAAGCTGGCTAGTAAGCATGTCAAAGATGCTAGTGAGAAACTCTACATGTGATTTCTTCTCAAGAAAAAAGAGGTCTTGTGCAGATTGTATTTTGTGGAAGCAGCTGTAGGAAAGTGAAGGTATGTGTAGAGGTCCGGCGGGCGGCCAAGGCGAAAAAATAATAAAAAAAAGTGTAATTTAACAATTTATTTCCCAACCGAATGTTTATAGGTTTTTAAAAAATAAAATAAAATAAAATAAAATAACCTAGCATTTGTTGCTGAAGTTATTCATCCACCTTGTTTATGTTTTTAATGTGGGAACAACATTTTCTTAGTTTGACTGTTTTAAATTGTAGATATGCTCCGAGGCTTGTTTCTTCCTGTTGTGGTCATTATTGCAATTACATTGTGTCCTTAGATTAATAATAATAAAGAGAGAGAATCAAGCAAAGACTGAAAGATTTTGGATGACAGAGCTCTCAAGTCTGCAAGATATTCTTATGCCGACATAAAGAACATTACCAAGAAAAATAGAGCAAGGTGCCTATGGAACAATGTACAGGGGAAATCTATCCAATGATGTTCATGTCGCAGTCAAAATCCTCAACAATGTCAAGCGAAATGGGGATGAGTTCACCAATGAAGTGGGAACAATAGGTACAATCCACTACATCAATGTTGTACGTTCGGTCGGATATTATGCAGATGGATTTAAAAGAGCTCTTGTTTACGAATTCTTACCAAACCATTCCCTAGAAAAGTTCATATCATCTAAACACAAAAAGAATTCACTAGGTTGGGAGAAGCTGCAAGATATTGCTCTTGGCATGGCTAAAGGAATTGACTATCTTCACCGAAAGGTTGCAATCAATGAATACTTCACTTCAACATTAAACCTCACAACATCTTGTTGGACCAGAATTTTAATCCAAAGATCTCTGATTTTGGCCTAACAAAGTTGTGTTCAAAGGAACAAAGTGTTGTATCCATGACTGCTGCAACGGGGCCACAGTCAGCTATATTGCACCCAAAGTGCCCTCTTGAAATTTCAGAAAGGTGTCATGCAAATCAGATGTCTACAGTTTTAGAATGCTACTGCTAGAAATGGTTGGAGTGAGGAACAATAAGGTAACACAAAACACAAGTGCAGTGTACTTCCCTGAATGGGTTTACAACCGTTTGGATCATGGAGAAGATCTAGAAATCTAGATTGACGAAGATACAGATGCACGGATTGTTAAAAAAAAAAAAAAAACACTAACTATTATCAGACTGTCGTGTGTACATTGGTATCCTGCAGACCAACCATTGATGAAAGTTGTGGTGCAAATGTTGGTAGGAGATGCACGTAGTCTGACCATGCCTTACAATCCATTTGACTCTACAAATCCAATGACGACAAGGGGAAAAATGAGTGGAAGACCATTAAACAGCGAGTTAGAAGTTATTTTTGAATCTGATTTGTTGTCTTTTTGATGCCAGAAGCTGCATAACATCAATGGTCGTTCTGTAGTGAATATTTGCTTTGTTTTGGTAGGTCTACAATAGATATGGAGAACTTTGAATTATTTATAAAAGATGGGTGTAATGTACAATTAATATAAGAAATAAATAAAACTCCAATGTCATGTGTGGAGCTTTGTTTTCTTATAGTTTGTTGAATGCTAATTAATTCAGAAATGCTCTCATGGCCTCTCAATAGCATTAAAAACAACAGCCAGCAATATATGGTTCATCACTTGGCTACTTAAAAATTAGGTATGTGTTCTTTTTTTAATTTTTATGGGAATTAGGCATGTGTCCTTAGGTAGTTAAACATTCCAAATTGTGCTATATCCAAACTTCGTTTAATTTTTTTTCATTGAAATTTTATTTTGAAGGATAGAATATTGGAATCGCAACTATGAACTTACGTCCTTTTACAAGTTGGGGCTTCTTATTTTTGGTTGCCACCATTTGGGGGGAAGTAAAAACCTAAAGTGTTCCCATATTTTTTTCTTTCAATGAGTGGCAAAACTTTCTTGAACAAACGACAGGAATGCTTCATGATCTAAACCCCACAAGTAATAATCTATCCCCAGCAGGCCACACAAGAAAACAAAACGAATTCAGTTAATAGACAAGCTACCCATAAGCCTTATGGCCTTGTTTCATTTTGGGAGATATAAAAGGCTAGATTGGAAATTAAATACTGTGGACTCCATATATTTTGTATTTGTAATTTTTTTTAAAAGAGGATATAAAATATACAATTGGATTGTATATTTTCCAAAATGGGTGGATATGCAATACCCACTCCCCCTATTATGTCATATCCCATCAGATGGGATAAAAACTAAAAATACAATTTTACCCTTTTACAATGGAAAATCTGATTGTGTATATATGAACTTTACCATGAGAAATTTAATTGTGTATGACCGAAAAAATTATATTTATGAATTTTATTTTTAAATTTTTACAGCTGAATTTTTTATATAAACAATATATATTTATATAAACAAAAACGTTATTTCCGTTTTGAGATTCAAAGTTTTAATTTAATTTTTTTAATTTTAAATATAAAAAATATATTTATAATTATACTAATTTAAAAGGTTTTGAATTTTCAAAGTTCTAATTGAAAAAATATTTACCAATTTAAGAATTAAATAAATAAGTGGGCCAAATAAACTATGATATGTATTTTATTTTATTTTTTAAAATTTGCCAATTAAACTATAATATGTATTTTTTATTTGTAAGAATTTATAATACACAATTAAATTTAGAAAAATAATTTTAAAAATGTTAAAACTTAATTGATTCTAAATTATTTTTCTTAAATATTTTAAACAAATTTATATTATTATTTAATTTTTTTTATTATGTTATTGCTTAATTGATTATTTTTATTTAATATATATTGGTAAATGATTGGATGTAATGGACATACATATATATTGTCTGTTGATAGGAATAGGGACAAAATAGACATTAATATATGTTACTTGCTTATATCCCATAATTCTTTTTGCCAAACAAACATAGATAAAAAAAAAATATCCAGTACTATATCCTGAACTCAACAACCATGAGCATGTGACATATTATCCAATCCATATATCATATTCATTGCGTATAAGGTATATTATATCCTTCATTTTACATTTTGACAATCAAACAAGGCCTATATTCCTATACTTAGGCATACACATTCGAAATGAGACCCATCAAGTTAAGTAATCCAATGCCACTCAAAAGCACACCTGGAACCGTTCAATCAAAGTCACTTGATTTGTTTGGCAGAGTATGTTGATTGAAAACTAGTGAGAGCTAAAACACAGAATTTGATATACGAGCTATATTACATGGATTCGGATATGAGCGTCGGGTGCTGGTATGTATCTAGATGTCGAAGTCACCAAACCATAAATTTAAGGACACACAGACTCAGCAAAAAAATTTGTTATATTTTTATATTTTTAATCAAGTATATGAGATAAAATAGTACTATATGTAACTTATAGTGTCAAAAAGACATTTAAAAAAAATATAAGGAGTATATATATTAATAGTGTTATATGCAATTATATAAGAAGTATCCATTAAAAAATATCTGACCCTTGTCCGAGTGTCGAATGTCCAACATGGGTATTTGATTTATTTTGAACAGTCCGTGTAACATAGTATACGAGAGTGTCAACATTGCCCCTGAATAAATATTGTTTGGTGCAATGTACTTAACGTGCACTTACATCTATTGTTAAGGAATCCATACAAGCGCCTGATAGAATGGGCAATTGTGCAGGGTCTATGTCATTTCCATGATTCTCAGTCGGCATCGCCTGTGAATATATAAAAGGTTTGGGAGGCATCTGAAGGAATTCAATACTTCCTTGGAGGATCTCTACAACTTTGTTCATGGCAGGCCGGTTGCTAGGCTTCATTTGTATGCACCATAAAGCTACTACCATCATCTTCTTTACCATCCCCCTCTCCTCCTCCGTCGTCTCTTCCATTTCTATATGCTTTCCATCTGATAATTGGTCATAAACCCAGGAAGGGAAAAAAATTTGGCTTGAATTAGCTGATGCATTCCAATTCCGTCTCTTGCCTGCTATTTCCATCAACAACATTCCGAAACTATAAATATCAGCTTTATATGAAACACCTCCAATATTTTTGTAAAACAACTCTGGGGCCATGTAACCCATGGTTCCTCTTGCTGTAGTGAGAGGTACAATACTATCATCTGTTGGATACAATTTCGCAAGCCCAAAGTCAGAAACTTTTGGAGTGAAATTCTCATCAAGGAGAATGTTGTGAGGCTTTATATCAAAGTGTAGGATCTGCATATCACAACCTCGATGCAAATAATCAATCCCACGTGCCACTCCAAGAGAGATTTCATACATTTGCTTACAACTTAAGGAAGATTTTTCTTTCCCATAAAAGATGTACTTCTCGAGAGACCCATTAGGCATGAAGTCATAAACAAGAGCACGCTTAGATCTCTCGGCACAAAATCCAATTAGCTGAACCACATTGACATGATGAATCCTTCCTATGGTGGCAACTTCATTGATGAATTCTTGCCCATCAGCTTTAGGCTTACTCAACATCTTAACTGCCACAAGAGTGCCACTTCGAAGCTTTCCTTTATATACAGAACCATAGCCTCCTTCCCCTAACTTGTCCCTAAAACCTTCAGTCATTTTCTTGATATCTGAGTATGAGTACCTAATAGGCAAGAGATTATTTTGACTTCGTAGGAAACCTTCAATGCTATCAAACATTGATAAATGCCTTCTCCTAAACTTATAGATTAAAAATCCAAACACACATGGCCCACATAAAATCCTTGTTGCTAGGATGAATATTGCTCCTGTGTAGGTAGACAAAGAAGAAGTAATAAGATAATGTTCTTTTATCCTTCCATTATTGCAAGAAATTATGTTCAAGTTTTCTTTGATACTGCTGCATTTCATTTTATACTATCTTCTTTTGTATTAAGGGACATTTCCTTTGTATTACAAGATAACGTTTCCAGTGTTCACTAAATAGAACAAATACTAAATCTAACATGTCATAACTACGAATACTAAATATAGCAAGTCGTACCTAAGACAATCAGCCAGGGCAAGAATGAAGCTGCAAGAAAAATGAACAAGAAATTCAGAAATGTGACTAAGGCAGTTACAAAGAAGAAAAAAAATAAAAAGGTGATAACAAGAGCAAGTAAACATAGCAAAGCATTCAATAAGTTATATCAATCATTCTATCAAGTGATTGAAGGCATCTTTAGATAGCAATGACAAATGCAACTATTTTCCAATCACTTTGAACATCTTATGTCGGAACCACTAGCATGACAATGAGACAAATATAAGAAGTTTTTGTTTTGTCAAACAAATATTTGAATAGAATTTTTGACAAAACATGGGCGAATCACATTCAATGGCAAAGAAAACACATTCCAGGAGGGAGTTATGCCAATATTTAGAGAGTAGAACTTGGCCAGATATGAATTTAAGACCCTTCGTAAAATGTTTTCTCTACCACTTATGGACCTATTTGTACATCTTTTCTAAGTTAAAAGTTGATCCAAAAAACAGAAAATAAAACCATCCATTCTCTTTCTTCCAGGTAATCAGCTTTTTTCGTTTATTTAAATTATTTATACCTCATAAGCTATGAGTAAAAGTGCTAGCACATAAATTTCAACCAAATTTATAATAAATTTCAAATTGAATGGGATGATAAGACTCTAAAATTTAAATACTTTACAAGTAAATGACATGTGGAGTCTACCAAGAAGACGACATGTTCAATCAAATGACCACACATACAGAGCCTACGGTAAAAAAGCTATGGGATACCACATCTAAAAATGACCAGTGTGATCAATGAAATATACGATGATGTCTAGTAACTTCAATATTTGTAACGACCCCAACATGCATATCATTATTGCATTTATATTATTATGTGAAATTTGAGTGTTTAAATGTGTGCGCTATGAGCTTAATTTGTTTATATCTGTCTGAGTTATGGAATATCTATTAGAATACTTGTTTCGAATTAGAAATTGAAGGCCTAAATGAATTCAAAAACCAAAATCGACAAGTTGAATAGGATAATTTGAATATTTAGAGCCTTTTTGGAAGTTTAATTCAAATTTAATTAAAATTAAAATTAATTAGGCAAAATCAATTAGAATTAAGTGGGATTAATTAGTCTTAAGCTTACTTAATCAACATAAGCTAATCTTTGATATATATATATATATATGTTATAAGAGAATAGAATTTAGTTCATTATAATCAATACAGTGCTCAAATTTTAGAGTGAGAAGAAGAGAGCTAGTTCTAGAGTGAGTGAGGAGGAATTGTGAAGAGAATTGTAGGAGAGCTCAAGATTTGTGTTAGAATTCTTCAAATTCAAGCTCTAGGTATGTATTTAACCTCTAATTCTTGTACTTAACTCAACTAAGAAGTGTATTCATGATGAGAATTAAGATTATAAAAGGAATTTGAAGGAATTAGCTTAAAGATAATGAAAACTGGCTTAGAATGGTCATGCATGCATATTTCCACCGTGTTTTACTATTATGAGCATGAGTTTTGATATTCTTGTTGAGTTTGGGAGTTGAATTTTACATGCATCAAAGAATTACAAGTTTTAAATGTTTAATTTCATGTTTTGAAAGTTTCGGAAAGAGTTTGAAAACAATTCCATACATGCAACAAGTATTTGAGTTCAAATTTGTTAAATTCATGGAGTTTTGAATCTATAGTTTCAAATTGGTTCTATAACCATGTTTTTCAGAGTGTTTTCTTGTGTTTGGACCAGCCATGCAAACCTATGACTTATAGACTTATGTTTTGAAACTCGAAATTCTATTTTGAAAACCCAGAATTCGACCTCATTGCTCGAGCGATGAAGTTACCACTCGAGCACACTTTGTGATTATCCAGTAGTTTTGCAGAATTTTGCAGACCGCTCGAGCAACCAAGAGTCTGCTCGAGTGAACTCAGTTTTCATTACACTTGGCTCAAGTGACCATCGAGCCTAGATTTCAGGCATCCAGAACTTTTGCAGGCTGACCACACTGCTCGGGCCTGTTTTCAGCACCTTTTTTAATACACTTTCATTTGCATATTTTCACTTCCATGTCCTTTTAAGCATTCATAGGCTTTGTTTACGTTTCATTAAAGAAGGAACAAGCTAGAAACCCATTTACGAAATTGAATTAAGATAGAATGCTTGTTTGAATATTGTGCTTCAATGTGTATTTGTTATGTGTTTTGTGTTGGTTGGTCACCCAAAGCCTAATGTTTGTTCAAGTCCATTGTGAGTAATATCTCTATAAAGATATGTTCAAATGTATTTGACTTGTTCAAGAATGAAATTTTGAGATCTTATTTTGTTTATCTATGAATGAATGTCCTTTTGGAAAATGTATTCATGGCATCCTTTAGTGAGGCCCTTGCTTGAGAGACACAATACAAAAAAATAAAATTCCTAACTATCTTCTTATACAACAATCAAATTATCAGAGCTATTAATTGAAATATATTGTTGACATCATTAAAAATTATTATTTGACTTAATGGTTGTTTAAGGGATTATTTGTTGTGCAATTAGAAATTTTAAGATGCATGATGTAATTTCTAAAACTATAGGGGCAATTAATATTTTAAGCTGTATTTATAATGTATCCTAAATTTTTATGTATCTCATAGTAAGTATATGTGGGTGTTTGGGAAGTGGGTTTTTATATAGGTTTTTTTAGATGTAGGATATTATTGGATAAAATTTTTTTAGTGTTTGAGGAGATAGTTGGATTTTTTTATGATTGTATGTGATGTTTGTGAGAGAAAAAGTGAAATGATAATGGGGTTGGATGTGATATTTTGTTTGGATGTGTTTTTTTTTTATTCTGTAAAAAGTTTGTCTTTTTGTGTAAAAAATCAAAAAAAAACCCAGCACACAAACTTCCCAAACACCACCATATGTATCTTTAAAGAAAAAATTGCAAATCGGCAATACAGTAAGAAAATAATTACATTATAGATGAAAACCGTTTTTTTTAGTAACTTTGGCACACATAAAGGACTTGCATCATGCGAACAAAATCGTTTGGCACACAAAATCGTTTAAGTTTTCACACAAAATTGTTTAAGTTTTCACAAACATACATAAATTAATCCATAAAAATTGAGAAATCACGATTTATATATATTTGTGAGAATTTATGCGATTTTGTGAGATAACTTATGTATATTTGTGAGAACGTCACTTCATTCAAGTATACATATATTGCATGCCAAAATTAACAGGACATCACTACTTTCCACGTCCTTCTTGGCGTTCAGATTATTTGAAAATATATATATATATATATTAGACAACAGAAAATAAAGATAGAACTATAAATAAATAACAAAGCCCCCTTCCACCCCCCCTAAGAATGGGGACGAGGTGGGGCGGGGCGGGGCCGGGGATCACCCTCCCCGTCCCCGATCCCCGAAGGCACAAAAGTCCCCGTCCCCGTCCCCGATCCCCGGCGGGGAACCAATCACCCTCCCCGGCCCCGCCCCCTAATGGGGATCGGGGATCCCCAACCCCGAAAAATCCCCGTACAAAAACAGCGTCCACAACAAACAACAACCACCCCAACAAATCAACAACCACAACATTACAACAGATGAACCAAAAAAAAAAAAATGATGAGCCAAAAACAACAAATGAACAAACAACAACCCAACACAACAACAGATGTATATATATAACTTAAAAAAAAAAAAATTATTCATCAACAAGAGAGAGAGAGAGAGAGAGAGAGCTTCTGCAGCTTCAGCTTCAAAAAAATTTGTTCATCAACGAGAGAGAGAGATTGGTAGCTTCAGATCGAACCACGATCCAAATCGGTAGCTTCAGATCGAACCACGGTCTGTCCAAATCGAACCAACCACAATCCTGGTCCTGTGTACGGATGAAAGATGGTGAAGAAGAAGAAATGATCGAACCACAATCTAAGTGAAAAAAAGTTTCAGATCGAACCACGATCCCGTGAGTGAGGGAGAGAGAGACGATGGCGATGTGATCCGTGGAGGAGGAGGATCCCGTGAGTGAAGGAGAGAGAGACGATGGCGATGTGATCCGTGGAGGAGAAGGAGGAGGAGGGAGGAGGGGAGTGGTGGGAGTATTAGTGGAGGAGGAGGTGGAGGTGAGAGATGGTGAAGAAGGAAGAGAGACCAGAGACGGTGGAGAGGAAGAGAGATGTGAGGAATGGAGAGAGAGAGTAGATCTACATCAATGAATGAGAGAGAGAGTAGATGGAGATGAGAATAAAAAAAGTATATATATCTAAATGAATAAAAGATAGGGATGACTCATCAGGGATATATAATATATATATATATCATTCGGGGGAACAACGGGCCGGGGCTCGGGGCCGGGGCCGGGCCGGGACTGAAACATGTATCCCCGTCCCCGGCCCGAATATCATCGGGGATTTTTTTTTTATCACCATCCACGGCCCATCAGGGTATTTTTCGGGAAATAACCGTTATATTTGGGATCGGGGGGTCGGGTCCCCATCGAGCCGGTTTCAGATTGCCATCCCTACTAAGAAAGTAGTTTTATTGGTGAGGGGATTATTGAAATTATAGGATAATGATATACTAACATAGTTTATATACAAAAACTCTTTGCAAAATGATATGTTGCATTTATATCCATTAATTGGAAATAAATAAAATAAAATACTGGAGGCATCAAAGAAATTCTAACATAGGGAAAAAAATATATTAAAACATGAATAATTAAAATTTTAAAATCATAAATCATGGATACTTATTATTTTTAAAATAATTAGTTGCATGGACTAACCTATATATATATTTTTTAATCTACTTTATACATTTAAAATTTATCATTATTAGTATAAGTTTTTTAGCTCCAAAGTAACATGTTTCGGTTTATAGATTTTTTTTTTTTATGGACTCCAAAACAATGGATTAACCTATATATATATATCCATTTTATAAATTTAAAATTTATAATTTGTAGTATGAGATTTTTAGCTCCAAAATAATATGTTTTGGTTTATAGATTTACTTTTTTATTGATCTCAAACATCAATAAGAGTAATTCTAACAATTTTGATAATATTGATTAGAACAATACAAGTTTCTATAAATATTGTATCACATTGCAAATATAGTAACATAATTTAAGGAACAAATCTTAATGATATTAATTTAAGGAACAAATTAAGAATTTAAACTAAAGAGAAAAACAATAATTTTTAACCAATCATTATCGGTTGGAAACTTGGCTATTTTAGTTGGCTTTTTGACTTTTTGGTTATTTTAGCATGACTAAAAAAGTTATATTTAGAATGATAGTCGGCTTTTTTGTATAGTTGATTTGACGATTGTGAGAGAAAAAGTGCAATGATTATTGTTTGAATGTGACATTTTGTCTTATTGGTTATTTTAGCATATTTTATCTTTATTGGCTATTTTAACCTAAACCACCTTTCTGAAAAAAAAAAAAAAACCTAAACCTAACTTCCCAAACAAGGAGACAATGATATTTGAGATTCTTGATAATTTAAAATTTTAAAAATTTGAGAAAAAAGGGTTGGGAGTTTCAATCTCAAAGGCCTAACAATGTTTTTGCTTAGGGCCAGGCTTCTCTCCAGTCCAAGATTGGACTGGAGCGTGCTGTTGGGCTCGTGGAAGCCCACCACGGGTCTTGTTTTGATAATCCGAACCGTTCAATGTGTAGAACTCGTTGAGTACTTTAACTCTATAAAAAATCACGTTGATTAGATATTGATAACTACTTGATCGAATCAGATTCCTGTCAATGGTAAATATAATTTTCAAAATAAATTGATACAAAAATCTAATCCAATCAAGTAGCTGTCGATATCCAATCAACGTGATTTTTTACAAGGATAAAGTACTCGACGAGTTCTACACATTCAACGGTTTGGATTATCGCAATAGGACCTATGATGGGACCCACAAGCCTAACAGTACCGTCATGTCCACTTTATGGACTAGAGGCAAGCCTGACCCTTTTGCTTATATAGTAGTATAAATTTTTTGTTATTAAAATGTTTAGAATTGTAGAATCGAACCATACTTGTTATATAGATTTAACCATTCGATTACTGTTTCAATTTTCAAAGAATCCTAGGGACCGATTCGATGATTTACTTTAAAACTGGACCAATCTGATTCATGAACACCCCTATCACAAATAAGTTGTACCAAACAATAGTCTTGCAAACAATTGAGAGGATTAAAAATCAAAGAAAGAATACTCACTTGAGATGAAGCTCCACAACTTGCCTGCAATTTTTGGCAAAAAAATTATGTTAGTCAACCAAAATTTGCAAAAACTAGTGAGAATTAAAGATGTCAAGCAGACCACATCCTTATTTAATTTTCACAACATTATCTTTTCAATCATTAAAATGAAATAACGTGCACTATCAGCCTTCTTGCTCTATCCTGATGGCATCTCCATCAATTTGCATTAAAAGAATTTATAGCTACTAATTCAGATAACTACTAAAATAGTCAAGCTGACATTTGTAAATTAGCACTTATTGTTCAACAAGTGAAAAAGTAAAAGAATTTATAGCTACTAATTCAGATAACTACTAAAATAGTCAAGCTGACATTTGTAAATTAGCACTTATTGTTCAACAAGTGAAAAAGTTCAATATTGCATTGTGATAGGGTCAACCCTCAGTTTTTAAAGCTACAAGCGAAGCTTTAATATGGGGCTTTTTATACATTCACATAAAAAAATAAAAAAATAAATAAAGTTGGCTTCCATACACTACAAGAAACTGCACTTTTAGCAACCACTTTCCGCGATCAATATAAAGTTAGCAGGTAAAAGTTAACTTTTGACGACCAAATATTAATTAGTCGCGAATAATTATTATTTTTGACGACCAAATATGAGTTGGTCGCAGAAAGTCATATTTTGGCGACTAAAAAATGAGTTGGTCGCAGAAAGTGGTATGGTTTTGGCGACTAACTACAAATTTGGTCGCGGAAGGTCATATTTTGGCAACCAAAAAATAAGTTGGTCGTGGAAGATTAAAAATAAGTTGGTTGTGGAATTGGCAACCAAAAGTTTGGTCGCCAAATATTTATTTTTAGCGACAAAAAATATTTTAGTCGCCGTATATTAAGTTTCGGCTACTAAAATTATTTAGTCGCCGAATGAAAAATAAAAAATTATTTTTTATCTTTGGCGACCAAAATTTTGGTCACCAAAAACTTATTTTCAGCAACCAAATAAAAAATATTTTTATTGTTTAAAAATAAAATAAAATCTGTATTTGTGCTTTTCAACTAGGCAAAGACTAATCCAATCAAATGATTTAGGATTGAAATCATTCAGGCAGTTGGATTATTGGAAACATGAAAAAAAATTCGCACCAAAACATAAATTTTGAAATTGAAATTTCAAACTTAAAAGTCTTCATAAACAGAGTGCGAGACTCCACTTCCTCTATCAATCCCAAAACAAAAGACTTCTTCCAAAGAATTGGCAAAACTAAGCTACTAATCTATGGCTATCTCAGGCAAAATCACCACCACCACCAATCCATCTCCAACTCTCCATCCTCCTTACTTACAGGTCCTCTCTTTCTCTCTCTCTCTCTCTCTCCCTACTTTTAGTTCTTGTGGATCTACAGTTAAAACATTTTTTAAATTTTTGTTGTTGTTGTTTGATGCAGATGATAAGCGAAGCAATATCGTCATTGAAGGATCGCACAGGTTCAAGCCAGCCAGCGATCGCGAAATTCATGGAAGAAAAGTACAGCTCTCTACTTCCCCCAAATTTCAAGAAAATGTTGTCGATTCAATTGAAGAAGTTTGTGAAATCGGAGAAACTTGTCAAAATCAAAAACTCGTATGAGGTGTCTGCATCCGAGAACGTGAAATTGGTTGCTACTGCTGCTGCTGCTTCTATCAAAGAATTCGAGAAACCAGACAAAGCAATTGTGAAGAACAGAGAGAAGACGAAGAGGCTAAGCCAAGTCAAAACTCCAGAGGCTCTGAAGAAGAAGAAGAAAGTTTTGACCCCTGCAAAGAGGAACTCATCCAAGTCGGTCAAGGTTAGGGCTTGATAACGATGATGTTTAATGGTGATTTCAAGTAATACATATGTAGTAGGAATATGGAATGTAATAATAGTAATTCGACTGTTAGATCTACGTTTCTTCTAATTTGCTTGTAAGTCTAACTTTCTGCATATATATTGTGTTTAATCTGAGCTCAAAAGTACCTCAAATATATATATATATATATATATTTCATGAAATTTTCTATTCAGGCATACAAAAAATTAGTCGACTGGAATACCATGGAATACCATGTTTATTGGATATGCTGACTGGATATGTTTATTGGAATATGTTTATTGGAATACGTTTTATATGTTTATTGGAATATGTTTATTGAAAAATTAGTCGACTGGATATGTTTATTGGAATACCATGTTTATATTTCATGACATGTTTATTGGATAGAATGGAATACCATGGAATACCCTTTCTTCCTTTTCTGCTTAATATTGGATTGAAGTTTTATAAACAAAAACTGATTGTTCTCAAAAACAAAAAAAAAAAAAAAAAAAAAAAAAGAGATTTGGCGACTAAAAAATTAGTCGGCAAATTCTACACTTTTGCGACTAAAATAATTGGTCGTTAATTTCTTATTTTTTGGCGACTAAATTGTTAGTCGGCGATTCCTCGACATTTGGTGACTCATCTGTTTGGTCGTGAAATGTGACAATTGGCGACTAAGATATATGGTCGGCAAAATATCACTTTTCGCGACCAAAATGTTTTAGCGACAAAATGGATTAGTCGCAGTAATGATATATTTAGCGACCAACAATTTAGTCGGCAAATCCAACTTTTCCCGACCAACCAAAATTTTGGTCGCGAATTACTTTTGCCGACCCTCAATTGGCGACCAAAGTAGCGACCAAAAAAATTGGTCGCGGATGATTTTTGCCGACTAAAAATGGGCTTTTAGCGACTAATTTTTTGGTCGACAAAAGTGTTAATTCTTGTAGCGATATATAACTACTAAAATTGTTAGTAAAATTCAATTTATAATAAGAAGAAGAAAGAAAAGGAAAAAAAGGGGGGGGGGGTATACCAAAAAACCTAAAACTATAATACCAGATAAAACCGAACAAATTGTAGCGAAATATCACTTACACATTACTCTCCTCGTATTTTTACTTACAAAATTACTATCTAAATTTGCATAATCTAGGATGCGATTATATTTTTATTTGAGACGTAATAAGTAAAATAGCAAAATAAAAAAATTAGACCTAGTATAAGACTTTGAACAAAACTTTATCAATTTCTTTTTTTTTTTTTATTTATAATTTTTCGCTGTTTGGCTCAAAAAAAAAAAAATAGAAAATACTCTCAAATAATTTACATGAAAAAAGACTTTGAACAAAAACTTTATTAAGTCAAAATTTTCTTAAATTGTATCCTCAAAAAAGGTCCAAAATTTCAAAAATCAACTCAATGAACAAAATAACAGTAAGCATCCATTGATGCATTTTATCAAACAGTTGACAGACAAGGAAAATGGGAGTAAAGCTCACACCTTCCACATGAACTGCAATGAGAGAAACTATGCATCACAAACAAAAGCAACAAGCTATACCAATTTCCAACATCAAAAACTTTATCTATGTCCAAACCCTCTTGTCGTATAAAATTTCAAAAAACCAGTAGTGGTTTTCTTGGACACTCACCACAATAGTGTACCATTTAAAAAAAAATCAAAAGACTTATTAAAAATTTGTCATCAACACATCATTCCAATGTATAAAATTCCTGTTTGCAAATCAATTTCCGGTGTAAAATATTTCTTGGTAATTTTGTTTTACATTTTGTACATCCTAAACATTAAGTATAAAATATATTTTTCATCAAAACAAAAGGGATCAGAAAATTTTACTCACTTAGAAAGGAAGGCTGAAAAGAGCAGACACTGGAGCAAGCGGCAACGACATTCACGGCATCGCCGAAGCAAGATGCCCGTTTTTTGCAACCTTTACAGGTTTTGAACTCCCACGAAACCTCAAACCCATATTCCAACGCCTTGTTAACATCCGAGAGTGAAAAACTCGATGCAATTTCAGTTCCAATCAGCAATGGTGAGGAAGAAACAGCAATGGTCTGGACAGTGCAGGAATCGGCAACATACCAAACACTCACTTGTCCAGCCAGAACGTAAGAAAAGCCTTTCAGTGACGAGGAATCGATTCCATTGTCGCAATAAGAAGTTGTGTTAATGTAATAAGGAGATTTCACTGGATTTTCACAATTCAAGAACACTAGTAAGGATATACCAGTCGAAGTATAGGGATCTCCGGAAGTCAAGTTGGAAGGGGTTAAAGAATGATTAGGGAAATGTTTTTGTTGTTGCTGCTGTTGTTGTTGGTTTGTATGCCGATATCGATGAGGCGGATTGTGGAGTTGTCGTAGTTGATGGAATGAACGTAGTATTTTGCGGAGGATAAGGATAGGATTGTGCGATTGTTGTCGCAGGACAGAGTGAAGTTGTTGTTAACTCCTCCGCAGATTTGTGTGTCGGATTGCAATTGGAAGGGGAAGGTGATGTTTTGGATGTCTCCGCATGAACTGCCGATGAGCTGCTGGTTTTGATTTCTGCCATGGCAAGTTGAGAAGAACAGGAGGACAAGTACAACAACAAGGGCTCTGTAATACATAGAAGCCTTCTCTTCTGCACCAATTTTTTCCTCTGTAAGATATGTTAAATGATGTATCCATTGGGAATACGTTGTCCGTCAGCTGTAAATAAATAAGCTAGACTCTTTTTGTTAGATCAACTTGATTATGACTATTATAATAAGTGATTATGATATTATTATATTATTATAATTTTGTACTCATCAATTGTGTTGTTTTGATTCAGAATCATATGTCAACAAAAATCCAAGACAACTAACAAAAGCATACACGTGTGCTCCTATTAAAGTAAACAAAAATAATATTGGTCAAAATGAGTAGATGAGGATGGGGATGGAGATCGGGATGGGGATTGAAAGCCTCATCAGTCAGAAGCTCAGAGCTTGATAGTCAAAAACAATGAGCTTCAAATTAATTATAAAAGAAAATCTGCTCTTAATTGAAGCATGTAGTAATTAAAATAAAATGTTATTATTAGCACTTTATCAATTATTTTAGATGTTTTATTTCTTTGAATCTCCATTTATAAGTTGTAAAATACTTTTAAAAAAATTTCTTTACAAATAATACTAAAATTATTCTCGTAAAAATATTTCACCTATTTAAGTACACACCTTCATACCCCCCACATCTCAAAAATCTTCTTCTGCATGTGGCGGTCATTTTAGTGGGTATAAAATAGCCGCCAAGGTTTTGCAAAGTGGATTTTATTGGCCACTCATTTTTAAAGATACTCATCAATTGTGTACAACTTGTTTGCGCTGTCAGCAAATGGGTTCAGTGTCTCATCGTGATATGATGCCAATGTCCCCTATTTTAGTGGTAGAGATTTTTGATATATGAGGTATTGAATTCATGGCCCATTCCCGTCATTTTTCCACTCGAATGGTGTGACTAAAGGCGATGTTTACATATAGGCGAACTGTTCGAGCATAACTCAATTCCTATACTTAGTCAGGAAAGTGACAAATAAAAAATACTCAAGACACGAAATATCAGTACAAAAACTTCTCTACACAAACATAACTCGAGTTAGATTCATATTTAAACTTTCATAACTCACAAATATAATAGAGCGAATAAAAATATAACTAAAAAGATTTGTATCCCACAATCTTAACTTAACAGCTTTGCATAGGAGCTGAGAAGAAACATAAATGTGAGGGTCCTATTTAAGTGAAGTCAAATAATTTTGGTCAAAGATGGGATGATGGGTATGAAGCCTCATCAGTCAACCCTCAATTAGTCAAAAACAGTAAGCTTCGAATTAATTATCATATTCTAGATTTTAGAACATAAAAATTAAAAATATATTTTAATTGAAGGATGTAATAATTTAATAGTAAGTATAACAATCTTTTTCTTAAATTAAAATAATTATAAATTTATATTTATATTTTATAATTATTAGATATATAATGAAATAAATTTGTAGACATAGTCCTACCCAAAAAAAAATTAATAATAATACTTGTTATACACATAGAATAAAGAGGATCAAAAGTCAATTAAAAACTACTAGTTGATGATGTATCTGTTCTGTATGGATATTTTGCCATCACGTTCACATGGGATGCCAATAGATAGGTAGGGACCAACCAACCCACTGTGTATTGATGAGTTGAATAGGCTGATGGCTGAGAGGAAGGAATAAAGGACAATGGCCAAACCACCAAACATTGAAACATCTATATACAGAGAGAGAGAGAGAGAGATGAAACTCCAAAGATAGTAACCAAGGGAGCATGGTGATCTTCCTGATTCTCTTCTTGGTCCTGAAACTCTCAGCAGGACAAGATGAGTGCACCCCAACAACATGCTCAGACCACGGTCCAACCATCCGATTCCCATTCCGTCTAAACAACCGCCAGCCTCAACACTGTGGCTATCCCGGCTTCGATCTTTCTTGCTCCCAAAACAACGACACGGTCCTTGACCTCCCATTTTCTGTCAAAGTTTTCATCAACCACATAAATTACACATCTCAATCCATTCACATCGCAGACCCAGATGGTTGTTTTCCTAGCCAGCTTCGACACCTCAACTTGTCTTCCTCTCCATTCCAATTCTCCAATTTCGTCAATGATTTCAGCTTATTCAGTTGCCCTGCAAAAGGGCAACAATTCCAATACAAGACCTGCATTCCCGGCGAACCGGGTCGTGAAGTTATTGCTGTTCACAATGATTTTTTCATCTTCAATCTTGGACTTATCTACTACTACCCCTTATTATCTTGCAGAAAGTTGTATAATATTTCGTCTGTTCCTTCTGAGGTATTTGATCGAACATCCGATCTGCAATTGAAATGGTCGAAACAGATATGTGGCAACTGTGAAGCAGAAGGCAAGTATTGTAGATTGAAGATCAGTAACAGCACGGGACATGAAAATTTTGAATGCTTTGGCTTCCTCAAACCACCAAAGGAAGGTAGGTACCTTTTTCTTTGGTTTCCCTAGTTTAATTTCGTATTCAATTAGGCCTTCCAGTATCTTCTTTTGCATTCATTTCAGTAGGTTTGGACCTATATTTTAGAATTTTTTATTTGTTTTGGTGGTTTGATTTGGTTTTCGAGGTGAAGAACTTACAGGAGAAACAAAGCTAATGTTTTTAATGTAAGCAATGAGTTTATTAAAAGGTTACTTAGGTTGGTTTTATATTTGTTGACAGCGTTACTTATGCAGAAGTTGTTAAAATCGGAATCTTAAATTAGATTATTGAAAATGTTTATGGAATCGGATCGTAAAATCAGATTGAGAGTCATAAGATTCTATCAAAAAAAGACAAATTACGTAATAATTTAATTTTAATAAATATTTCTTTAAAAAGTATATAGAAAATAAACATATATTCTACTTAAAAAAAAGTGAAGATATTGTGAAAAATATAATACTCCATATAAATGTAAATATAATATTATATAATAGAAAACTCAATAGTAAAAGTTTTGCATTTCTCCAAAAGGGAAGGTGAAGAAGAAGAATTCTATAACAAAATACTGTGCAATCTACAATAATGCATAACAAATTAAGAAAAAGTATTATTGTTCCAAAAAAAAAAATTATTTAACTAAATTGGATATGAAAATAAATTAAAAACTCAAAAAAGCGGTTTAACTAAATGATAAGATTTGTCGTTAGCATCCTTAGTGGAGTAGGTTCGAGTCACGAAAATAGTCTCTCCTAAAATTGGGGGTAAAGTTGCATTCATGTTGCCCTCCTTATGCCTCACTAAAGCTAAATTTATCTTTCCCACTAATTAGTTTTCTTAAATTATTACAATATTTAAATGTTTATTTCTTACATTATTTTTCTTAGTCTATTTGATTCAATACTACTTAATTTTTTGAATTCATTTTGACCACATAAATTGGTATTTAGACAAAATATAAAAATTACAATAAAATAGGCCATATAATACAAAACAAGTTTACAAATTGGATCGGATAAGATCAAATTTGGATCAGGATTCCACAATCCTGTAAGATTCAATTACCAGGATCAAAAGATCCTACCTGTAAAGGATTTTTTGCACAATCTAGATCGATTCATAAAATCGTAGGATCGTAAGATCCAGACTGGGATTCTTTGGGCAGAAAATAATTTTTTTGAAAATATTTTTTGTATTTTTTGACATTTGATATAATAGAAAACGAAAACTCAAGAGAAAATATTTTTCATGGTTAGTGCAAAGTAAGTTTATTTGGATAGAAAATATTTTTCATTTTTAAAAAGCAAAAACATTTTCCGAACTAAACTCTTACCAACATCACCACACTACTACCATCACTCTCACATCTACCACCACACCATTGCCACGGCCACCATCACCACACCACTACCTCCACCACCACCAACACCACCAAATATAGAAAAACGTTTTCTCCATAAAATATTTTATGTAGAAAATATATCCGTCCAAACAAACAGAGTGTTAAGGTAGTTTTGTATCTCTCTATTATTAAATTTTGAAGCTTGTATTTTTTCTGATCAAAATGAAATAAAATAAAATATTATAGGCCTCTACAGTTGGGTTGACAAAAGAAATTGTTGAGAGATCTTAAAATATCAAGTGAAAAGATAATATGATATATTGTGGGAATTCCAAATGCTTGAGAAGCTAACAAGTCTTCTCTATATTTTACAGGTGAATTGAAAAGGCGACTAGTGATTGCAGGTAAAACTCTCCACCTGCCTTTCCATATTTGCAGTGAAGATGGAATTTTCCTTCCTAATTTGGTTGTTATAAATTGCAGGTGCGGTTGTAGGCTCTTTTCTTCTTCTTGTAGTTGTCATTGCATTGTATTGTGTCCACAGAGCAAAGAAAATAAAGAGAGAGGACCAATTAAAGATTGACAGCTTTTTGGAGGATTACAGGGCTCTCAAGCCATCAAGATATTCTTATGCAGACATCAAAAAAATTACAAATCAATTCATAGACAAAGTAGGTCAAGGAGGTTATGGAACAGTGTACAAGGGACAGCTTTCCAATGATGTTTATGTTGCAGTGAAAATCCTCAATAGTTCAAAGGGAAAGGGGGAAGATTTCATCAACGAAGTGGGAATAATAGGTAGAATCCACCACATCAATGTGGTTCGCCTGGTTGGATATTGTGCTGATGGGTTTAGAAGAGCTCTTATTTATGAATTCTTACCAAATGATTCACTGCAAAAGTTCATGTCATCCGATCACGAGAAAGGTTTACTTGGTTGGAAGAAGTTGCAAGATATTGCTATAGGCATAGCCAAAGGAATTGAATATCTTCACCAAGGGTGTGATCAACGAATCCTTCACTTCGATATTAAACCCCATAATGTCTTGTTGGACCACAACTTAAATCCGAAGATCTCAGATTTTGGTCAAGCAAAGTTGTGCTCAAAGGAACAAAGTATTGTATCCATGACTACTGCTAGGGGAACCATTGGCTATATCGCACCTGAAGTATTCTCCAGGAACTTTGGGAATGTGTCATACAAATCAGATATCTATAGCTTTGGGATGTTGTTGCTTGAAATGGTAGGAGAGAAAAAGGATTTTAATGTAACAGTGCAGAACACCAACCAAGTGTACTTTCCTGAATGGATTTACAATCGTTTGCATCGCGGAGAGGAGCTGGGAATCCAGCTGAGGGATGATGCAGATGCCAAGATTGCAAAGAAGTTAGCGATTGTGGGACTTTGGTGCATTCAGTGGTACCCGATAGATCGACCCTCCATGAATGTTGTGGTTAAAATGCTAGAAGGCGATGAGGACACTCTGATCATGCCCGCCAATCCATTTTCTTCCACAAATCCAACAGCAACTAGTGCAGTTGTGGATGTAAGGCCTGTAAATAGTGAGTTAGAAATTATTGTTGAATCTGAAATTATTATTGAATCTGAATAACAAAGCCAAACTATGTCAGTTTTATTGTAGTTTCATCGGAGTAGAAATCTCTCCATTGTCATCGATCAATGACTGGTCCTTTTTTATGCATAAATATAGTATTTGATTAACACATTTGGAAGGTTATGGCATAGTCAGTTAACAAAGAGCTAGTTCATTTAATCTGGTTTTTATCATAGCTAGGAAGCACTTCATATCATTATGCAGCAACTACATGAATTAATTAAGATTGTTCAAGGTCAATTTTTTTAGGGTGACTTGGCTCTCAGCTTGCAACCATAAGATTCTACTTTTCTATATTAACAATTACTGCTAGATTGGCCACTTAACAATTCCTTTTCCTTCTTTCTTTTCTTGCTTCATTTCAACATCAAATGCTCAACATCAAATGCAATAATCTCCAACAAGTCATTTTAAATCATTACAATTTTCTTAAAACGCAAGCTCTGAAATGTATGTTTGCATTAAATCCCCATTATGTAATTCAAACCATATGGTATTATCAAAATTTCTATCTTATTGCTTACAATCTAAAATGAGTAAATTACACATACCTCCCCCGAGCTCCATTGTATTATAGAATTTAAAAAGAAACAAGGATTCATCATCTTACTGTTTCCTGCAGCTCCATTGTTTTAATAGTCAATGCCCATTTGGCAATAAATCTTGTTATCTTTTCCGCAAGTGATCAGGAAATAGCCTTTCCAAAATTGAGATAAGGTTGCGTTCATCTTGCCCTCTCTAAACCTTGCTTTAATAGGAGTTTTATGTATTATGTCGCTTCTTTTTTCTTTGCCAAGTGATCAGGAGGAACTTTGAATTAGTGGATAGGCGAACAAAGTCAACTCACAGAACAAGATCAGTAATGAACAACGCATAGTACCATGTTTGAGGCTCTTGATCATTTTAGGGGGAATGACTGCAAAGCCAAAGTATGATTTTTTTTTTTTTCTTTTTTTTCTTTTTCATGAGGCCTGTGCATTTATCTAAGATACAAAAGATGGAGAACCAAAAAAATAAAATTAGAACTTAGGAGAGTTTTAGCAAACTGGACAAGTAGGATTTAAAGCAAAGCCATTCACCAATGCAATCTGCATAGAAGTAATGCTGGCATTCAGGTATTACAATACTAACGTTAACATCAATAGTTGAGATGTGAATATTCACATGAATGTGGATATGAAAACAAAAACATCAACATTGAAATACAACTTACAATACTAACGTTAACATCAATAGTTGAGATGTGAATATTCACATGAATGTGGATATGAAAACAAAAACATCAACATTGAAATACAACTTACAATACTAACGTTAACATCAATAGTAGAGATGTGAATATTCATATGAATGTGGATATGAAAACAAAAGTAGTAGTGGAATTAATTAAGGTGTGAGTATTCACATAGGCTATTGAAACAACACCAACATATGTTGATTTCTCATATTGACAGGAACAAAATTTCACAACAAAAAGGAAATATGTGCATATTATCTCAACATCAATATTCACATAATCACATTGACCAAACACATGTGACCATTATTTTAGCAATAAGTATAATGAGAATGTTCACACTAATATTTACATGAGTCATATTGTGAATAATGTCATAACTTCAGAAAACTTTAATTGAGCCACAATTACAACAAGACAAGACCATTATGTTAAAAGCTCAGAAACACATTAAGCAATATGAATATTCACACAAACATTTGAGACTACGAAACTGAGAATAAAGTCGATAATCAACAAACAACACAACAAACACTATAATGTAAATTTATAAAATGACTAGCCTCAGAATGTGAATGTTCACATTGGTTGTTACTCAATAACAAGAGAAATAATAAGATGTTATTATTTACAATATGCCTACAAAAATTCACATTGAATTAAAACAGGGTTGACTACCATCCAAAATTGGGGTTGTAATTATTTGATCACCATGAATAACCAACAACACCAACAAGTCCGACATTGACATAAGGAGGGAGATACAACATACACCATAATGTAAATTTATAAAATGGCTACCCTAAGAATGTGAATGTTCACATTGGTTGTTACTCAATAATAAGAGAAACAATAAGATGTTATTATTTACAACATGCCTACAAGAATTCACATTGAACTAAAATAGGGTTGGCAACCATAAAAAATTGGGCATCAACACCAACAAAAACAACAATCACAGAAAAATTAGAAAAATAATATGAACAACACATGCGAAAGTTCACATTGAACCAAATAATCATTCGATGATTATGCAAACAGAAGAAGAAAAAATATGGTGGCTTACTCTGTTTTCTGGAAAGAAATAAATGGTCAAAATGGGTGATTCACATCAACACCAACAAAATCAACAATTACAGAAAAATTGAAAAAACAACAACAATAATATAAATAACACATATGAAAGTTCATATTGAATCAAATATTCATTCGATGATTATACAAACAAAAGAGGAAAAAATATGGGCGTTCACTCTGTTTTCTAGAAAGAGAAAATGGTCAAAAATGGGTGATTCACATCAACACCAACAAAATCAACAATTACAGAAAAATTGGAAAAACAACAACAATAATATAAATAACACATGTGAAAGTTCATATTGAATCAAATATTCATTCGATGATTATACAAACAAAAGAGGAAAAAATATGGGCGTTCACTCTGTTTTCTAGAAAGAGAAAATGGTCAAAAATGGGTGATTCACATCAACACCAACAAAATCAACAATTACAGAAAAATTGGAAAAACAACAACAATAATATAAATAACACATGTGAAAGTTCATATTGAATCAAATATTCATTCGATGATTATACAAACAAAAAAGGAAAAAATATGGGCGCTTACATTTGGTCCACATTTAGTCGGTCGATGTAAGATTTTTCAATTCGGAGTAGGGTTTCAATCGCCGACAACGACGTGACAATGGTGGGATGCAGAGATGATGAAAATCGCGATGGAGGATTCAAACGATGAGACGATGAGAACTGGTATGGAAATGGAGGTTTTCTGAAAGCCTTGTCGTATATTTTGCGATTTGCTCATATGTTTTTGTCCTGTGACGTTTTGAATGGAAATAAATGCTCAAAAATGTGAAGGGGTGTTTTGGACAAATTGCTAGGTATAGGACTTATTGGAATAGTCAAAAACGTTTTGGGCTAGATGGAACAAAACACTTAGAAAGTGGATTTATCAAAAAAGCTCCCTTTAGAATTTTGTTAATATTCAATTAACCATATATCCCTAAATAACATGGAGAGGTAATTGGTGCTTCGGTCCAATAATAGAATGGGAGCTATTGTGGAGCCCACCTAAGAATTCAAAACTTATTAACTATTGAACTAAACATAGCTTATTATTTTGAAGATTAAAGTTTAAATCTTATTATATACAAGACTCTCTCTTTTTCAAGTTGTTTTTAATTTATCAAATACAGGAGTATATATGATTTTTTTTTTCTTTTAATTTAAGATATAATACTCAGTCCCACTAATTCTGACTAATCTGTTTTATAATTGCTTGATATTTTATGAGCTCCAAAACCTTAATCAATCAAAATGAGAAATGACATTCCATCTTCAAATGAGTTTTTTTTTTCTTTACTTTTTTTTTATGTTTAATTTTTGTAAATATAAACAAATAATAGTGTTTATATTTAGGACACTTGGTCCATAAATCTAAATTTAAAGGGCAAATTACTTGGAAGTCCTCTTTAAAAGAGGATAAATCTATTTAGTCATATAACCTTTTGAATACTCTCAAAAGTCCACTATGTATTTTTCTTTTTCATTCTTCTCTACCTCTTTCTTTTCATGATTTCCAATGACCGGCGACCATGCCTTCTTCTCTTTCTCTTTCTAATATATAGTCATCGGTGACCAATGACCATCATTGCTTGGGGTTCACCGGTAACCACCGACCATCGACTCCTTACTTCACCTTCACTGACAACGAAAAAGACGAGTTTCCTGTGAAGAAGATGAGTAGATCTACATCAGATCTGAGTAGATCTATATGATATCCGACTAAATCTAAACCAAAAATAGTTGTCGGAATATAATATTCTCTCTATATCTGTTTCTCGTCTTCGATTTCTCAATTTTTCTACCTTTTCTCTGCTATACACTTCTATTTTCCTATTTTAATGGGAAAAAAATTTCAAATTCTAAGCAAGTTCTTTTTAAGTTTTAGTTACAGGCGATGAAAACTCTAAAATTTTATAGATTCAATTTTTTTGGCGTCGTACTTTAAAACTGTAAAATTTTACAGTTCATAACATTCTTTAAAATTGTAAAATTTTACAATTGCATAACATATTTTCCAGTTTAATTAATAAGGATAAATGCTTAATAGAATCATACTTTGAAACTGTAACATTTTACAGTTTCAAAACTTACTTTTCAGTTTGATCAATATTGGAGATTATTTTCTTAAATCCTACAAAAATTAAAAAATAATGTATACTTTTTCTTCTTTTTTTTTTTAGTTTATCAATATTTAGCACATTTTGCTATATTTTTTCACTATAATTTCTCCATTTATTTTTTTCCCTTGAAATATTTTGGATATTCCGGTGAGTCTCCGATGATATTTTTGACGTTTAATGAACATTCTAGACATTCCGGTGACTTCAAGCAACGTTCAGAACACTCTAACAATACTCTGGCGAACTTCCAACAATACTCCGGTGACTTCTCGATGATGTTGAATATTCCGGCGAGTTTTCGGTGGCCGTTTGACGGAAATCTAGCGGTGGTGGGATATAATAACGTTTTTAAAGTTATTAAAAAGAGAGAGAGAGAGAGAGAGAGAGAGAGAGAGAGAGAGAGATTTTTTTGGTAAAAATTAAAAATATGTAGGACTAAGGCCTCGTTTGGGAAGTAATAGTTTTAGCTTAAAAACCAAAAAATTACTAAAAAAATCAAAAAGTCTATAACTTATACCAAAAATTCAAAAATTTTATTTTCTCTCCAATTTTTGTACATCTTTTCATAAAAAAGTAAAAAATCATTCAAAAGATACAAGTTTTTTTTTTTACTTTATTCCAAGTCGTTCCAAAGATACAAGTCATTCCAAATAGACTGTTCCCAAA